TAGTGGCAGGATTAGACAGCAGCCTGACAGGGAGGAAGGAATTGGCAAGGGAATGAAAGCAGTGGGCCAGGTCCACAGGCATAACATGCATGTCCCTTGGAGGCAGAGAGGCAGTCACTTCAGTCCTAGGGCACAGGGCTCTTGTCTCAAGGCCGAGAGAGGTTGGAGGAAGGGTCTGAAATGCAGTGGAATGAAGGCCCTGACCTAGGTTTTAGGCTCAGATGTAAGTGCTTGTCTAGGATGCTAAAGGCCTTCAGATCCCACAGAAGCTCAAGGGGAATTCTTCACTGGTGGTAGTAAGGAAACTCTTTCCCACCTAGCACTGCAGTTGGCTCCTCCCTCTGCACAAAAAGTGGCCACACATGTCAAAGATCAACTCCCTCCTGTTCAGAAATGCTTTCCATCCTGGTGGGGAAGTCACCCTTTTGACTTAGTAGTCTTCTAAGCTGTAGGCATGTAGGTGTACATAATACTTTTTTGCTCCAGTAAAGGGTTATCACTAGTGCCATTTAATTATGTCAATAACAACCAGGTAAGATTTGTTACTACAGTCTAGGTTTTTGACCTAGAGACTAAAGAAGCCTGACAGAAAGGGCTCCTGGGCTCCATCTGGACTCAATTCCAGAGTTTCCAGCCATCCAACACCAATGAAACTACACTCTGCTCCCCACCCCTGGATACTTCAGGTGCTACCTGACTTTCTCTTGCGGGGAGCAGGAGGATGACTTAGGCCAACCTCTTGATTTGGTAGTCTCTATTTCTCTCTGAAAAGACACTGACTTTTTACTATCCTTTCCCTGGGAGACCCAGAGCCAATTCCTATGACCTGCTAAAAGATGCAAGTTTCAGTAGATTAGCAATTCACATATGTGAACCTCAAAGTGCTTGGCAAACCCAAATGAATTTTGCAGTCCAACAATCTTAGGAGGCAATGATGGAAGGGGCACTTTGCTCTGGTCACCTGAACTGGCAAGTGACACTGGAGGACTTTAACTTTTGTGCTTAGTACCGTTCCCACTGGTATGAACCAGCTGTTATTCTTCACTGTTAGTGGGCACTCTTCCTTGTCCACAACCCTAACACCAGTAGGGGGTCTCTGCAGGCTGGCACCCACCAGGCCCCTCATTTTTCTAACTACCACTGAGGCCTTGCCTTCCTTGCTGCCTGTGCAGTCACCTGGCTCAGTTCCCATTTCCCTATTTGGATGTGAATGTCACTTAGCCAGTTTGCCCACATGATTTCCCAGACCCGGGAAGGGACACGCCTTGATGCAGAGAGATGCAATCGCTACTACCACTGTGGAAAGGAAAGCCATCCTTGGTATGGGTCACATGTCCTTTTCATTTTTTTATGTCAGAAGCTGTGCATGTGTCATCCATTTTGGTGGGGCATTTCACTTCCTCTGATGAATGCCCATTTGCCTTGGACTCTTCCAGGATACAATTTCCCAGGCAATAGGGCTCTTGTTTATGTTTAGATTCCAGACTTCTCGGACATCCCTTAATCCAACATCTCTGCCTCTAGGCAATGCCTTTTTCCAGAGAATAAAGAAATTTTGTACATTCTTAAAATAAAAAGTGAAACATAATTATAGGTCCTGACATTTCTAGGGATCAGTCTGGGAATTACACAAGACAGCCCTGAAATAACCTCACTTCATTTGCAATCTCCCTTTGACAAAGTTAATTTCGGTGGCCTTGACCCTGGTTATGGTGCCCCACTTGCCCTTTTCTCTTGGAGTTAGGGGACTCTAGCAGACCTGTATCCAGAAATTTCCCACGGCTTGTCTAAGAGAGAGATAAGGCTCAGGAAGTTTTTGGTTCCTAACGTGTCTCAACTTGGCACAAGGACTCAAGAGGATAGGCCCCTCTTCTTCTCCCCGTTCCTGCACATAGGCCCAAAGTGAGATTAAGGCAATGCAAGTTTAGGATCCAGCCATAGAGTAGCAGTGGGATGTGAACAAGTCGCAGTTGCCCTGTAGGTCTCTCCATTTCTCATGTATAAAATGAAGCGTTGGACAATGAGCTGCTCTTTGATCCCAGTTCAATTCAGTCACTATAAAAGCACTAAGGGACTACTTAAACGAATAAGGCTGGATCCCTGCTCTCAGAAAGCATCCTGCTTAGTGATGGGAATGAAAGGAAAGTGCCGTACACGGTGCACTCTCCTCAGTGCAAACTTTGAGACTGGTGTTCTCATTTCTGATATGGCTGAGTAAAGTAACTGGCCTAGCTCCTGTGGGTTCAACTGCAGCTCTGCTAGCCACCAAATTCTGAGTGGTTATTGTCACCCAGACTGGCTCAGACACTTGCAGAATGTGGTAAGTGTTACAACAGAGGTGCAAACAAGGGGCTCTGGGAACACATTGTCTTCATGTTTCCAGTGGCTTCCTTCCCTAGCCAAGGACTCTGTCAACCTTGCCACTTGAGTCCAGCCAGGCTGAGTTCAGTCAGGGAATCAGGCCCCACAGGGCTGCCTGCCAACCTCCCATTCCTGTGACTCTCAGGATTTATCCTTTACTTTTCTTCCAGGAATGACAGCCTACTTGTAACAATAACAATAATCCCTTCCACCATCGCTTCATGGTTTACAAAACAGTTTCACATCATTTAATCACATTCCTACAATATCTTCTTGGTATCCCTTTAGTATAACATTCTGCCTTGCCTGACAGGCCTGTTTCCCTTTATTGCATTCATCTTGGTTCACAAGTTCCATCCTATAATTCAGGTATCTCAGTACCTTGCACATTTCTGTGCACAAAGTGGGGGAGATAAAAGTTTGCCGTATTGAATCCTCACTGTGTTGTGGGTCTTTCTCATGGCTGCTTTCTTCACCCCTTTGATTCAACGGTTGTTTGGTTGTCTACTAAGGGCAAAGCTGGGTTCTTTCTTTCTTCCTTTCTTCCTTGCTTTCTAAGTAATCTCCACACCCAACGTGGGGCTCAAACTCACGACCCTGAAATCAAGAGTCACATGCTTTTCCGATTGAACCAGCCAGGTGTCCCAAAGCTAGGTTCTTAAAAAGATTTTATTTTTAAGTAACCTCAATACCCGATGTGGGGCTTGAACTTACAACCCTGAGATCCAGAGTCCCATGTTCTACCAACTGAGCCAGCCAGACTGCCCAAAGCTGGGTTCTTTGAGGGGGATATCAGGCAAGGAGTTCAGATCAACAGTGGGGAAGACAGAGGCAAAGGACTCTGTCACCTGTGGGCCATGGTAAGTCCTACAGCAGAGGTGCAAACACTGCAGTTTGAGTGACTGATGAATTTTGTCTGGGGGTGGGTGGGAAGCAGGAATGCTTTTTTTTTTTTTAAGATTTTATTTATTTATTTGACACAGAGAGACACAGTGAGAGAGGGACCACAAGCAGGGGGAGTGGGAGAAGGAGAAGCAGGCTTCCCGCCGAGCAGGGAGCCCGATGCAGGACTCAATCCCAGGACCCTGGGATCATGACCTGAGCCGAAGGCAGATGCTTAACGACTGAACCACCCAGGCGCCCCAGCAGGAATGCTTCTTGGAAGGGACCCACCCAGTAGAGAAGGAAAGGGGCTGAAGAACTCGACAGGGGTCAGAATCAGGAATGGCCACAGATTTGATTGACCCTTGGTAAAGAGAAGAGAGCTGCACAGAAAAACACTCTCAAAAAAAGAGGAAAGAGGGAGGAGAAAAGAGAGGTGCTTGAAGTCACAAGTTTCTCCTCTGGTCGGGGGAGGGACATACAAGGTAGGAATTTCCCGAGTTATCTTTAGATAGGAAGGCCACAGCACATAGCCCCCACTGCCCCTCAGCCAAGGGAGGGAGCGGGCCAGTGGCCCCTATAGTGCTCAGAAAAGAGCTAGGGTATGCTCCCCAAAATACTGTCCAGGAAAGGAAGTGGGCCCTGAGTTCCCCCAATTCTCCTTAGTAAAGGGGGCAAGGGCCTGAACCTCTACCAATTTTCTTAGAAAACAAGAGCTAGGGTTGCGAATCTACAAAATCACCCTCATCCTGGCAATTCTCGGAAAAGCGGGCAGGGCAAGACTCGCCAAAACTTTCTTCAGAAGAGGGCCAGAGCAAGACCCTCCAAGATTCTCTTTAGGAGAGGGACTAGGGCAAGATTCCTGGATTCTCCTCAGAATGGGGGCTAGGAAACGAATTCCGAAGATTCTCCTCAGAACGGGGGCCAGGGCCAAGAATCCCCAAGATTCTTATCAGAAAAGGTCGAACCCACAACTCTTGTCATAAAAGAGCGCTGGGGATAACGCATTCCCTCGGGAACAAGGCCGAGCCAAGGGCTGCCCAGTCTCCTCAGAGCGCGCCTCACGCGGCCCCGCCCACTGCCCGGCGTAACCGCCCCACGCCCGCCCTGCCCAGGCCCTCTCCGGTGCATTGTGGGTGGGGCGCCCCTGCTGAGCACTGCGGGGAACCCCCTGCCCAGCCAGTTGTCGGCCGCCCGTCGGCCCAGCCGAAACGCCCTCCGGGGTCCGAGCGAGCCGGCCAAGAATTGACGCGTCTCCAAGTCCCCGCCCCTCGTGGCGTTCCCGCCCCGAAGCCGAGGCCCCGCCCCCGAAGGGCCATGACTGGCCCCGGGGTCCGCTCCACTCTTTCATTGGCAGACCGCTTGTCAGTCACCCCGTCCCACCTCCTCGGGACCGCCCAGACCGCCGGCGCGATCCCGAGGGCCAGCCGGCTCGCGCTTTCATTGGCTCTGGGGCACTGTCCGTCTTGAGGCTGGCCACGCCCTCCATGGGAAGCGGATCCCCGGAGCCTCAGCCGGACCTCATTGGCCTGCGGCGCCGCCACTCGACGAGACGCGCCTCAACCCGGAAGTGTGCGAGGCGAAATCTGCCTAGCAACCGGGGAAGCCGGGCTGCGAAGCGGGCAATTTCAGTGTGAGAAGGAGCGGCGAGACCGAGCGGCGGCTCCGAGCGCGGCGCGGCGGCTCCTCCCGCCCGGGGTCAGCGCCCCGGCGCGCGCACGCGCATCCCCGCCACCCGAGCGCGCTCCGCGCCGCCCGCGCAGTCGCTCGGTCGGTCGTCCGTCGTCCTGTCGCCGTCGCCGCCGCGGGCGCCACCTGAGGGAGCCGCCGCCGCGGGACCCGAGCTGATCGGACCGGACCCCGCCTCCCGAGGCCACCCGGGGCCCAGCAGCCGCCCGCAGAGGCGCCGAGCAACTTCGGTGAGTGAGGGGCCGGCGCCGCTGGTGGCGGGTCCCCGGCTTCCGGTGCCCCGGGCTTCTCTGGGGCTTCCGCTTCTCTGAGGGGACAGCCTCCGATGCGCGGACCCCCCTGTCTGAGGGACCCCCGCTTCTCTCAGGGGAGACCCCCTTCTCCGAGGGACCCCCATCTCTGAGGGACCCCCACTTTTCTGAGGGACCCCACCTCTCTGAGATACTCCTTTCCTCTGAGGGACCTCCACTTTTCTGAGGGGCGCTCCCCTTCTCTGATGGACGCTCCACTTTTCTGAGGGACCCCCTGTCTCTGCGAGGGAGCCCTCCCTTCCCCGTGTCTTTGAGGGACTGCCTGCTTCACTGAGGGCCCCGCGCCCCTTCTCTGAGGGCCCCGCCTCCCTGAGCCCCCTCCTAACTTCTCTAAAGAGACCCCTGCTTCTCTGAGCGGTGCTCTGTCTCTGAGGGACCGCCCCCCGATTTCCTGGGGACCCTTCTCTCAGGAGACACCCTGCTTCTGGGGGACCCTCTTCGCTTCTCTGGGGGGGCCCCACCTTCTCTGAGGAGACCTCTGGGCCTTTCCAGGGACCCCCCCCCCACGTTCTCTGAGGAGAGCCCTGCTTCTGTGAGCTGTTGTCCCTCATCCCTTTTTGCCCTTGCTTTTCTAAGGTGTCTCCCACTTTGCACAGGGCCCCTTTCCCCCTACCTTTCTGAGATGCTCTCCCTGCTGCCCCCCCTCCCTGGGGGACCTCCTCCTTCTCCCAAGCGACCCCGGCTAATCTGAGGTATTGCTGCTTCTGTCAGAATCCCTTCTGGGCGTGTTCCCCACTTTGCTGAACTATCCCCACTCTTGATGGGACCCCCTACTTTTTGATGGGCGCCTTCTCTTTCCTGAGGGGTCCCCCACTACCCTGAAATGCCCATTCATCTGACTGGATCGTTAGTTCCCAGAGGAAGAGTTCCCCACTTTTCCAAAATGTTTTCTTTTGGGCTCTCCACTAACCTGTGGAAGCCACAATTTTCTGAGGGGTCCCTGGCTCCTCCAGAGCTTCTCCCCCTAATATGGGATGTCCTTCTCCTAGGCGATCCTCATGTCTCTTAAGTGTGCTTCCACTTTTCCAAGATATCCTCTGCTGGTGGGAAACACTGTGGATTTCCTCACTTCTCTGGTGCCTCCCGCATTCTGAGGCATTCCCTTCTCACTTGCCTGAGGACATTTCCCCCTTTCCTGAGGTTTCCTGCCTGATTCTCTAAGGGAGAAGCCCTTCATTTTCCTTGGATCCCCTAACTTCAAGCTTCCCCTGTTTCTGTTTGGGGTACCCTCTTCCTCCTTCCTGGAAGGAGAGACCAGAAATGTCCCCCCTCTTCTGTCTTCTTTCTTGCCAGATTGGAGGAGGAGTTCTTTGAACTTTGACCTCAGCTTCCAAGGACCTGGAGAATTTTGTGGCTGGAAAGGAATTTGGGAGACAGTCAAACAGACAGTTTCTCTTGTCCTTCTGAGACCTGCTAGATTTGAGGGGGAGCAGGGGCTGTTGCCAGATGACCACTTTGGTTACTCCATTTTTGAGCCATGGGCCACCACAGTGTTGTCAGGCCATTGTGGAGGTGGGAGGGACAGGGCTGGAGCATTGTCCTCCTATTATTCCCCATTATCACACTGTCAGGCTGTGGGACCGACCCACTTCCTGTCCCATCCCTCAGTCCTTCTGCACAGTGTAGCACACCACCGTCTCACCCCCCCCAAAAAAGGAGAAGCAAAAACACTCCTTCAGGTCTTCCTGCTATGTTTTCTCTGATTTGCCCCTTGATCTCTAGAGGATCCCCAGTTTGTGGGCCAGTCTGGTTTGAATGGCAGGGCAAGAAGCAGGAAATGGGTCACCTTAGATCCAGGAACAGTGGAAGGGAGGCAAAGGACAGGGAATTTGACAGTATTTCTCTAAGTTTTAGGTAACTTCAGCCTGGCCCAAAGGAAGTTTTTACACGGCTTTTACAAATCTCATGTGTACTTTTTTTAATGGCCCACCCTGGATTCCAAATTCACTCCAGTAGCTAATTTTATCTGCTTTGCCAAACGCAGAGCTCTCTGGAGCCCAAGTAGATGAATGCTGGCATTGAGAGATGGTCCAAAGGACAGGAATGAACTCAGTTTGAAACCTGAGTAACTTGTAACCACTTCGTGTCCATGTACAAGTCTCGGGCTAAAAACACGGGGAGAATGTATTTGAAGTGGAGTTCTGAAATGTAGGCTGAACTGTTTGGTTTAGCATTTCAACAAGTTCTTCTCTCTGACTGTGCTAGAACTGCAGTTCACTTTACAGTGTGACTTCAGGCTGTCTCTCTCCTGTTCATTTCCATCTGGGTCTTGCTTAATTTGAGTCCTTTGTGAAGATTCCTGCCGAGGCTATAATTTGAGTTCTAAATCTGTCGGTGGACCATGTGGACACAAGTTTCAACTCGAGCTATTTTCTTCTGTAGAGAAGCGCTTGGAGAGTTTCCTAGGCCCTTTGCTCCTGGGGTAGTCAAGTCCAGGCAGGAAGGTGCCGCAGACCTGGATGTTCTCCTACTGCCTCTTCCTGGTCAGTTGTAGGCACTGCCCTGATGGGAAGGGGAAGGATGTTGGGGAGCTTGGGGCTTAGGGTTTCCTGAGACAGGGCAGAGAAGTGCCAGCACATATTTATTATTTTGAATGAAACCCATAGGACCAGTAGGATGGGGTGTTGGAAAGGGAAGGGGGAGCTTTGAAGTCAGAAGGACTTGATTCAGGTTTTGGTCTGTCCTTCCTAGTTGTGTGGTCTTTTACAAGTTATAATGCAAAATCAGCGCATTACTAAATATTTGAGGGGTCACATATCTATGTGTGTGAAGGTGCCAACAGATGGGAAGTGCTTCCTAGACAATGAATGAATGAATCTGAGGTAATGAAGGGGAGGCAGCCAGCATAATGCCTAGCACATGGTTGGTGTGCAATAAAGGTTGACTGTTGTGCTCAAGAGATTAAGGTTCTGGTCTGAACTTCCAGACCAGGAAGCACTTGATATTCTGCCAAGGCTAAATATGCTCATAGAGAAAGAAATGTGGTATGTCTCTTGCAAAACCCATTGCCACCCTGGGTCTTGTAGCGTTTTTCTGTGTTCAGATAGCAGATGTGAGATGGATTTGCTGTGTAGCAGACATTTGTGTTGCCTTGGCCTTGCCTTCTGCCTCTGTAAAATGGGGTGATTGTGAGTTGAGGGCAAGTAGGGAGATGTATTACCATAATTAGACTGTAGGAAAAATAGAAGTTTATAATGAACTTTAGGAGTTGTGGGAAGAAAAAAGTAGGTGAACTATAAACCTAAAGGATCATATCCATATTTTGGGACTGTTTGAGTGAGTGATATACAGCAGTTACTTGGTGAGTGTCTCTTCTTACACATTAGAACCTTAAAAGCAGAATGTTCTTTTAGAGTAATGGATCAGATTTGAGGACAAAAGACTGGGAAAGTGATGTACAAAGGCATTTGATGTCCCATAATAATAGTGCATTGAGAGGGCCAGTGTGTGGCTTAGTGCCCATGAGGAGATCAGAGTTCACCTTGAGCTCCCAGGATCTAGAGAGCTGTAGAAGATGCTAACTTAGCCTCTGGGGGTGAGGGTGGAGGTAGGGGCTAGGGTGGGCAGGACATTTTTTTTTTTTTTGAGAGGATTCTTTTTTTTTAGCCATTAGTGAAAGTCCTAAAATCATGACCAGTGAGTTGGGCCTAGCCTTTTTCACTTACTAGTGTGGTGACAGATGGCACTTGCCTCTAATATCTAAAACCCAGGGGGAAATAATGGGTGAAAATCTGAGCTAGGCCTCCACTGGGCTACTCCCAGGTTTGAAGGATTCCCCCCCACCTTTGAAATTATACCCACTCCCTCCCTCTTTCCCTCCTTCCTTCCCTCTGCCTGTCTCTCTGTCTGTCTCTCTCTCTCTTGACTTTGCTATTGAGGCAAAGAACCACCAATCTTAAATTTCTCTTAATTCTTTTAAGGACAGTAATTTCATTAAAGAAAAAGGAACAAAGTTTTATTATTTTTAAAGTATAAAAAAATAAGGTAAATAACTTTAAAGGTATCACTATCCCTTTTGAAATTATGCTGCATCTTTTGTGTGCCACAGACTTCACTTTGGTGGATGGTGGCGCCACCACCAATTCTCTTTTATCTAACAGGAAGTTTTTTTTTAACTTTTTGTTTTAATTGAAAGATCCTTACAGCAATAAAAACCCTTGGATAGTTAGAAATGATATTGATCTAGGTACATTTATTAGATGTAATGTAACATGGTTATCTGTCGGTGGGGAGCTCTAAAAGGCATGTGGGTCCCAACACTGCCCAGATTCTAACTCTGGACGATAAACTGTTGATTTATATAACTGAAATAGCTAGGGAAGTCAGGGTTTCCTTCCTGTTAGAGACAGCACTGGGGGCATTAAATCCCTGTGGATCTTGATGATTAGAAAGAAGCTGACCTCTTTTGGAATTGGGAAATAGCTACTGTATGAAGTTGTTCCATCCAAATGAATGGAAGGTGTTATTTTTAATTTGTAGTATTAATTTTGGTTTTATCCTCTCTGCAGCCTGGCTGCCTTTGTTTATAGTGGTGTGTTGTCTGAATAAGACTTTATCCCTTCAGGGGCACCTGGGTGGCCCAGTTGGTTAAGTGTCTGCCTTCAGCTCAGGGCGTGATCCCAGGGTCTTGGGATTGAGCCCCGCATTGGGCTCCCTGCTCGGTGGGAGCCTGCTTCTTCCTTTCCTCCCAGCTTGTGCTCTCTCTCACTATCTCTGTCAGTATCTGTCTCTCTCAAATAAATAAAAAATAAATAAAATCTTTAAAAAAAAAAAGAATTTATCCCTTCAAACTGGCCTATAAGGGACAGTTTTAGCACCCAACTAAACGAGGTTTTTCTGTGTGGCTGTAAGGTAGGGCATTTTTTTCTTTTTTATTTATTTTATTTTTTATTTGACAGAGAGAGAGAGACAGCAAGAGA